ACTGGTTTTTGGCATAATGAATACGCAACGGGGCGTTTGCCAGACTCTGCTGTGGGGACAGGATACTTTTAGTAGCCTGCCTGGTTCTCCAGAGTAAAGTAAAGTAAAGTAAAGTAAAGGCCCTCCCGTTGTTCATCGATTTGCTTGAGTGGGCCCAGTAGCATCTCCATTGGAGATTTTGTTGTTACTGTGTTTGGCATATCAAATACTCTCGGTAGCTTGCCGGGCTCTCCGAGAGGGGCGGAGGAATCGAACTCGGGTCGGCCGTGTTGGCTGCGTGCAAGGCAAATGCCCTACCGCTGTGCTATCTCCAGAGTAAGAACTAGATAATGTATACATGCACGGCAGAGCCTGGCAAGCTCCCCGTGGCATATTGGATATGCCAAACACAGTGACAACAAGTCTCACAATGTTACTGGGGCCGCTCGAGCAAATCAATGAACAACGGGAGGACAGTGACAGTATATACACTTACATACACATGCTCATACATGTCTTGCACTGGGTGCCTGTGTGTACATATACATGCTTATACATGTCATGTGCTGTGTGCCTGTGTATAACTACTCATACATGCTTATGTGTGTTGCTTACTGGGTTTCTTATATGTGTTTATGAGCATGTATATGTATACACACACACACACACATATATATATATATATATATAAAATGGTTGTTTTTACATGGATACTAAGCTCAGCATGCTCTTTTTTTTTATTTTGTTAGGGGGGCTGCACCCAGTGGTACTCAGGGCTGACTCTTGGTTCTTCGCTCTGGGATCACTCCTGGTGGGGCTTGGGGGACCCTATGGGGTATCAGGGATTGAACACTAGGTTGGCCCCATGCAAGGCAAGTACCCTCCCTGCTATCCTATGGCTCCAGCCTCAGCGTGGACTCTGGAAGCCTGAGAAGAAATTCCCTGGATGTGCAGTCATGCCCTCCAAACCCAGAGCATCCTGGGCTCCCCCTGCCCCCCACCCCCCCATCACCATTCCTCCCCCAGCCCACCCAGGCCTCGGCTTCCACTGCCATTGCAAGGACCATTGCCTGAGCAGGGGCTGTACCTCTGAGCCGCTTCCAAACCTTCAACGGGGCAGAGCCCTTCCTCCTCCTACCCCTCCCTTCCCCAATGCCCCCTCACCCCCCAGCCAAACCGCTCCTGTGCAGGTCCTGTGCTCCTTACTGCTACGAGGCCCTTGTGCCTTAACCCAGACTGGAACACCGGTCGCTGTGAAGCCGTGGCATTTCCGGGCCCTCTGAGGGCTCCTGGACCCCATAGGAAGCACCTTCCACCCAGCTCCAGCGGCCACTGTTATTCTACTGTAGATGCAGTGACCGTGGTTATTGCATTTATTTTATTTTTGATTTTTGGGTCACACCTGGCGATCCACAGGGGTTACTCCTGGCTCTGCACTCAGGAATTACTCCTGGCGGTGCTCGGGGGACCATATGGGATGCTGGGAATCGAACCCGGGTCGGCCGCGTGCAAGGCAAAAGCCCTACCCGCTGTCCAATTGCTCCAGCCTCCATGGTTGTTATATTCTTAACGTTCAGGGCCACACATGGCGCTGCTCCTGGTTCTGTGCTCAGGGATCATTCCTGGCCATGCTTGGTGACCATTCACGGCGCTGGGGATCAAACCAGGTTGACAGTAAGGAAGGCAAGGACCTGACCTTCTAGACTAGCTCTCTGCCTCAGGCTGCTACTAATAAATTAACATGTATGTATGTGTGTGGGGAAGGACATTAAAACTACACTGTTTGAAAAGCTAGTAACTTGCTTTTAGCTTCTGTGCCATGCCCAGAGGTGCTTGGGGGCCTTACAGTGCCAGGAAGAAAACCTGGGGTTCCCATAGGCAGAGCAGATGTGCAGCTGTGGAAACCATCTCCAGGCCCACCTGCCTTCTCCTTCCTTCCTTCTTTCTTTTTTTCTTTTTCTTTTGACTTTTTTGGGTCACACCTGGTGATACTTAAGGGTTACTCCTAGCTCTCTGGCTCTGCACTCAGGAATTACTCCTGGCAGTGCTCAGGGGACCAGATGGGATGCCAGGGATTTAACCCCAGTTGGTCGCATCCAAGGCAAGACAACTTCCCCCTTCTCTCTCTCCCTCCCTCCCTCCCTCCCTCCCTCCCTCCCTCCCTCCCTTCCTTCCTCCCTTCCTTCCTTCTTTCCTTCCTTCTTACTTCTTCCTTCCTTCCTTCCTTCCTTCCTCCCTTCCTTCCATCCTCCCTCTCCTCCCTCACCTCCCTCCCCTCCCAACCCACTCCCCACCCCCCACCCCCCACCCCCGCTCTCTCCTCTGCTGGATTGAGCCCAGGGCCCACACATGTAAAGTCAAAAGCCAGAACTCTACCACTGAGCCCCCAGTCCAAGAGTGCCTTTATTGAGATATAATTCATAAACTGTAGCATTCACACTTTTTTATGGGGGAAGGGGCACTCCTGGTGATGCTCAGGGCTTATGCCTGGCTCTGTACTCAGGGATCACTCCTGGCAGGGTGCGGAGGACCCTGTAGGGTGTCAGGGGTTGAACCTGAGGTGGGCCGAGTGCAAGGCAAGAGGCTCCAGCCCCAGAATTCACACCTTTGAAAGGTGCAGCTGAACAGAGAGGCAGAGTGGCACCAAGCACCCCTCTCCAGCGCTAGAAACCCCCACACAAGGGCCATCATGCCTCATGCCCTGTCTCCTTCGTCCCTGTGCAAACAGTTCCTGCAGGCGTGGCCAGACAGCTTGGAGCCGACTGTTTCCAACCATCTCCCCTCGCCTCATGCTTCTGATTCACGGGGTGGCAGGCACTGACCTTTCACTGCGTTTTCCAGGTGGAATAATATCCGACTGCATGGACAGATCCCATTAGAATCACCTAGCGGTCCCTTGTTTCCACTGAGCTGTTTCTACTCCGACCACGTGACCCCCACATTTTACTCCGACGGGGAAACTGATGGGGAACCTGGGTGGAACCAGGAGTCCAGTCCCCTCCTAATGCCCACGCTGCCCCAAGCACCCCGCACCCCAGGAATCCCGGAGGTCCAGTCCATGCCAGAGCGGCAACCTTTGAACCCAGCCACCCACCTACTGCTTCCGGTTCTGGAAGGCCTGGCCAGGAAAATCACTCCCTAGTCCCAGACCCCGGCTCCCAGCGTCTCTTTCTCCCAGCACCCCTCCACCCGCTGGGCCCCAGTCCCACTCCTGTCCATGCTCCCCTTGCAGGACTCAGAGAACTTGCTAACCCTATGCCAGGCCTTGGTCCTGGGCCTCCAGAACCTCCCAGGCCTCATGCTCCACAAGCCAGTCCGGACCATGGCATCTGTGCCCCCGGGTTCCAGTCTTACTGCTTCCTCATTCACACCACGTCCCCACCTGCCCCTGGGGCTGGGCACTGCCCTTCCCGGCAGCAGGCTCACCCGCCTTTCCTGGACCAAGAATCTGCCTTAGCCCAGTGGCGTGTTCCGGACCCCAAGCTCCGGCATCCCCTGCATCCCTGCCTCCTCGTGGGTGTCCCCTTAGCCCACTCTGGTGGCACCCATCACCACTGCCTTGAGACAGAGTTGTGTCTGTATAGTCCGTCTCCAGAATGTCAAGTGCCAGACGGGGCGCCCAGGGCCGGCTTCGGTACAGACTGGGCCTCACCGTAGCCCCCACATTGGCCCGGAGAGAGGGGCCCATAGTAGGTGTCTGGTGGCTGGCACACCTCTCTGGGAATCTAACCCTTCTGTTCCCTCGCTGGTCCACCCAGGGGCCCACCAGGCAGCTAAAATCACCAGAAACCCGGGCAGTTTGTTTTTCCAGGATCAGGATCTGTCTGATACCCCTCCACCCTCCCCCAGTTAGGAGTCTTGGTGGGGAGCTGGCCTGACTGCAGAGGGGGCGCTCGTCCACCCCAAGCCATCCTCGTGGCGCTCAGGAGACCGAAGAAAACAGTCCAGGGAATGAATGAAAGAGGACGCCGGGCGGGGCGTGGGCCCCTCCGGGGCGCCGCCCACCGCTCTTTGATCGCGGCTGCGCCCGCGCCCCCAACCCCGGCCCCGCCGTGAGTTATGGGGGCCGGGGGACCCATCCCGCCGCATTCCCGGACTCCCGCGAGGTGATGGATGGGTCGGGGCCGGCCGCGGGCTTTGTCCCCGCGGGGGGCGCGGGGCCCGGCGGCCGCCGCCGCGGAGCCACTTCGGACGGGGCGTGGCGAGGGGACCGTGCGGCGCGCGCGAGTGCGGGGACGGGCCGGCTCCTCTTGGCCCGCAGGATGCGTGCGGGGGGCGGGGAGGACGCACAGGTGAGGCCGCGCGAACGCCCGGCTCTCACCTGCCGCCCCTGCTCTCTCCCACGACGCGGCGCGCCCCTCCTCGAGCCCGGCCCTCCGCGCTCCGAGCACTTTCCCGGGCTACAAAGGCCCCGCGGGGTCCCCGCCCGCCTCCCCCCGCACCCGGCTTTCCTCCCGTCGCGTCTGACAGCCTGGGCGGAATAATCCTTTGGGGGCCCCGCCGGCCCCTGCCCGTCCAGACGCGGCGGCAGCTGAGCGCTCGGCCACGATCTATTGTTGGGGTTCGCCAGGGACCCCCCTCCCCCGCGCCACGACCCTTTGTCGGCCGCTCCAGCTGCGCCACCGCTGCCGGCGCCCCGCCCGCCCCGTCCCTCGTGCCCCGGGCCGCGCCGCAGCGGCTCTTACGCACCGGGAGGAAGGGGCCCGCCTCGCCCGGTGCCCGCACGGTGGCCCCGCGGCGCCCGCCTTTGTCTGCCTCCTTTGTCTGCCCCGCGCCCCGGCGCCCGCGGCTGCGGCGAGGCCTCTGGGGAGCGGACCCTGAGCGCCGAGCGCAGCTGGCCGGGGCGCGCCGGCCAGGAGCGCGCGGGGCGCGGCGGGGCGGGGGGCGGGGGGCTGCCCCTCCGCGCGGGGACCCCCGCCCCGGCGCCCCCGCGCCCGCCCCTTCCCCCCGCCCCCGCCTCGTCCCCGCCCGGTCCCCGCCCGCCCGGCTCCGCCCGGCGCCTCTCCCCGCCGCCCGCGCACCTCTCCGCGCGCTCCCCGTCTCGCCGCTCCGGCCCTCGGCTGCGCTCGGCTCCCGCCGGCCCGACAGGTAAGGCCCGGCCTGGGCCCGCCCCCGGCCCCGCCCTCGCGCCGCACCTGGCGGGGCGCGGGGACAAAGGTGGGCCACCTGGCGCGCCGGGCACCCGGGCGCTCGCCGCGCGCCCGGCCCCGCCCGCCGCCCGCGCGCGACCGTCGGGCCGCCGCCTCGACCCCTCACCTGGGCACCCCCCGGCTCCCCGCGCCCGCTGCGCCGCCCTGGCCGCCGGACACTCCACTTTCCCACGCTCCGGCCCGGCCCTCGCCGCCCGCTCCCGCTCGCCCGCGCCCCTGCGAGGCTCTGGGACTCGGGTCCTCTTTGTGCGTCGGAGTCTCCGCGTGGTCTTTCGGACCGGGAACCCCAAGGCGCCGCTTTCGAGGGGTCGAAGACGCCCCGTTTGGAGCCTCTGCGACCGCCAGGGAGGGTTGTGGGGGTGTCGGGCGGGTTGGGGAGACGCCCTGGACGCACCCCTCCCGGCACCGCGCTTGGCACCGAGGCCGCTGCCTCGATGCCGCGCGTCTGTAACCCCGACGGCGGGAGCCCAGGCGGGAGCCCAGGCTGGAGGATCGAGGTCTCCTGCCAAGTCTTCTCGCCTTCCTCCCCGGGGACCCCCACGGGTGCCTCCCGCCAAGCCCCTGCAGTCTCCCAGCTGCTCCCGGCTGTCCCCCGCCCCCACAAGTGTCCTGGTACTGGTTCTTTGGGTCTCTGGAGCCAGGCCGACCGAGGCTGCGGGATGCGCTTGGACAAAGAGCGACCCTTCTCGGAGCCTCAGTGTCCCCTGAACCTCACAGGGCGCCGAGTGGGTGGCACCCACTGCAGAGGGGCCTCCTGGACGGAAGGTGGAGGCTGGGCGGGCGCCCCTTGGAGAGCGGAAAATGGAAACCGTGGCAGTGCCCTGGCCTGGGGGCACTGCAGAGGCCGAAAGCCCCCTGTACCCCTGCACGTCCCTGTCGCGCCCCTCTCCCAGCTTGCCCCCAGATTGCTTTTTAAAAAAATCAGAGCCAGAGCGTTTCTGCTTTTGGAATGAGATCAGAGACCACGGGGGTCCCGCCCACAGCTGGTCACCTTGTCACCGGCACCCTGCTGCCATTTCCAGTCCTGATCCCTGGATCTTGGGCAGATTTCTAGTTAATTGCCTGAAATATTCTATTTAATTCTGTTTAGGGCTTGGGTCACACCCAGCAGTGCTTGAGGGTCGCGGCTGGTGGAGTCCATGGCCTGAGGTCGCTGAGGCATCTGTCCAGCCTGGGCTTCTTTTCTAAGAGCTCACAGGCCACTTCCTCTGAGGAATTGTCGGAGGGTCCCCGGAGCTGCTGGCTTGGCACCCAAATCTAAACCTCCATCCCTGGTATCTTAGCGGGTGACGACCCTCCCCAGGGGGACTTAGCAGGCCGGTGGGAGCACCTTTGCAAGAGAAAGAAGCTTGTAGAAGGCGAATTCTGGCTTCCCCTGGCTGAATTTTTTGTTTTCAGTCACAGCCAGGCATGGCGGTCAGGGCCTTTCTCTTTTCAGAAGGATGGCGCTGAAGGCATACGGGCGTGCACGTGCTTACACACACACATACACACACACAAATACCACATACACACACTACACACACACCACACATACACACACAGCACACATACATACACACACACCACATATGCACACGCATACACACACACCACATGGACACACACCACACATACACAACATACCCCATCAGAAACAGGGATGGGAGAGGGCCATATGGGCATGCACGTTCTTACATACACACACACACACATACATACATGCATACACAAAAACCACATACACACATACATACCCACACACACACACACACACATCCCATCAGGAGCAAGGATGGGATGGGGGCATATGGGCGTGTACGTGCTTACACACACACACACACACACACACACACACACACACCCATCTAGCCTCCTGTCTTCTCCAGCTCTTCTTTCCTAGCCCACTGCGCACCTGATGGCCTGGGACTGACCCTGCCCCTCACCCACCTGACTCCATGGCATCCTCTGCCTTCTCCTCTTTCAGTCCCCACCCCTCCCCTCCAGCCCTCAGTGGCCCCTGATGTCAGGGGCCAGCACACCTGCCTACCTCCTCCCTCCTCGCATGCCCCACTGCAGGCCAGGGTTCACGGGAGGGGCGGGGCTGAGCACTGCCCTCACCCACTTCCTCTGCGCTGTCCTATTTGGGTTTGGTGTTGGGGTCACACCCACTGGTGCTCAGCACCTGCTCCTGCCTCTGCACTCAGGGATCACTCCTGGTGGGACTCCTGGGACCAGATGGGGTCCCAGGAATCAAACTTAGATTGGCCGCTTGCCAGGTGAGACTCCCAGGGGAGCCCGGGAGAGTCGCTGACTCCCCACCCCGGGCCGCCCTCCCGCCTTTGGCAGCCCCGCCCCACCGTGCATGCACCCCCATGCTGGCACTGCCCACTAGGGCCCCAGACACACATGGCACGCGCGAGGCCCCCGTGAGATAAACTAACTGCAGCCCCCGAGGTGCAGCCCCCGAGGTCTGAGCTGCCCATTTTGGGCCAGGCCTGGGGGAGACCCCAGCACGTGGCCCCAACATCACCACAGGGATCGGTCCTGGCAGGAGCCACCAGGCGCGTGTCCTCAGAGTCCAGTGGCCAGACCCTCCTCTGCTCACTGTGGATATGAGCGGTGCCCTGCAGCCCTGCGCCCGGGCTGACCCCTGGCTCTGTGAGTCTGAGTTCATGGCCCAGGGGCAGAGAAATAGAACCGAGGGGACAGCCCACCTGGGTTCAGTCCCAAATATCCCATATTGTCGCCTGAGCCCCAGGGTGATCTCTGAGCACCACCAGGTGTGACCCCCAAATGAACAAACAGACATGGTCCAGGGCTGAAAGACAGTACAGGGAGTTAAGGAACTTGCCTTCTGTGAGGCTGACCCTGGTTCAATCCCCAGCACCACCAGGAGTGACCCCTGAGCACAGAATCAGGAGTCAACTTTCAGCATCTCTGGGTATGGCCCCAGAACAAAACCAAGAAATAATTAAGTGAAAGATTCAACCCACTTCAAAGGGCTAAGCTGGATGATGCCCAGGAAGCTCCGGGTTTAGACTAGCAGATGCCCAGAAAGTGATGCCCACAGGAGCATGTCCCTTTTCAGATGTGGGACCGAGCCCAGAGAGGCCAACGGACTACCTCACGGTCACACAGCCATGAGGTACAGGAGCCAATATTCACCCAGGTTCATCCAACTCCAGATACATCCCGTGCCACATGGGCTGGGCCCAAGTGCGACAGCAGGCCCCTTATCACTGGGTGATTGAGTGATGAGAGTGACAGCCGGCAAGTGGTGCCGACCTATCTGGCACCAAGAAGATATTTGGGTAACAGGGGGCAGGACGGGGGGGGTGGGCATCAAGGCCTGTGATGTAGCAAGAAGTAGATCACAGCTCCGAAGGCGGCAATGGATGTGGGGGCCAAGACAGAAGCAAAGCCCAGCCTGGGGGGATGCAGCATCTGCAAGCCCCCCCCCCCCCACACACACACACACACAACTTCCCACACAGGATTTGGGAGATGTGAGCCCAGGGAAGGATTCCCCAGGCAACCTAGAAATAACAAAAGCAGCCAGGCTGGGGTCTCCCGCAGAAGCCAAACCTCCTTTGTTAGGACAATGGCAGCTGCCAGGCTGGCGGGCGTCCTGCCCCAGCCTCCCCATCGATCACCCCACCCAGGACACAGGACATGCCCAGCCGGGCACAGAGGCACAAATGCTTCCTGGACGCCCCCATTCCCCTCCTGCCTGATAGCGGGGGATGCCTTGGTCGCTGCTAAGCCCCACACGGAAGCACCTGGGGTGGGTGGAGAGAGGCGGTTGGCAGGAACTCCGTGAGGGGGTGGGTCTGCCGAGCGCCCTCTGCTGAGGCTGCTGGAGGCCGAGACACAGGAGGTGGGTGGGAGAGGTGGGTGGGAACCAGCCCAGGACAGTCGGGGGTCATGTATGGCCACAGGCAGCCAGTGGGCAGCTGTTCTACTTCTCACCGCCCCTGAGTCCACCGTCATTGCTTTGCACACCACCTTACTGCCAGGGTTCCGTGTGTGCCCCAGGAGCCTGCTTCTGATCATGCACTTACATGCAACATACACGTAAATGCACACACACACATACACATACATGCACATGCATGCACACACATCACACACACACACACACACTGGCTCTTCAAGTCAAGTCAAACCTCAGACCCCAGGGAGGCCCCTGCAACTACCAAGAGTATCTCGCCCACACGGCAGAGCCTGGCAAGCTACCCGTGACGTACTCGATATGCCAAACACAGTAACAACAAGTCTCACGATGGAGAGAGACATTACTGGGCCCGCTCGAGCAAATCGATGAACAACGGGAGGACCGTGACCGTGATTTTATTTTGAGGCCGCACCGGGTGGAGCTCAGGGCTTCCTCCTGGCTCTACACTGAGGACTCACTCCCAGCGGACTCAGGGGACTGTCTGGGATGCTGGGGGTTGAACCTGGGTGAGCCGTGTTCAAGGCAAACGCCCTCTCCACTGCGCTATATCCCTCAGAGCCCTGGAGCCCATGCTTTGCACACAGGAGAGTTGAGTTGGACCCCAACACTGCAGAGGGTCCCTCAGGCACCAGTGGGGGTGGTCCCGGGCAAGAAAAGAATCTCCTAAGGTGACTTCATTTCACAGATCAGAGGTGGAGGCTCAGGCACAGAGTCTGTCCCCAAGACCCTACGAAGAACTCGCCCCAGAATAAGGGTGGGTGCCCCCTCTTCCCCGACGACGTGCCTCGTGCCTCTTGTGGCTGAACAGGAAAATGACCCGTTCCTTGAGGAGAGGGGGAATGGGGTGGGCTGGCGTGTCATTCACTGCTCGGGATGGCAGGAATCAGGTCGCAGGGAACCAGGAACTCCTCAGAACCCTGCAACAGGACCGACTGCAGAGAGAGGAGGGGGGCCGTTCCACCCAGGGGAGTGGGCCATGATGGGGGGGCCAGAGGGAAGCTCTAGGCTGGTGCATCCCAAGTTTGAGCGTTTCTATTTCTAGGCCCTGGGGGTCCAGAGTCCAGAAACTGGGGTGCTCAGCCTGTTTCACTGGTGTACTCTGTAACCGGCTCCCCTCCCCCTCCCTTTGTTGAAGGGCGCACACATGTCATGGCTGCTGCTCACACCCCCTTGGGTCATTGTCTCTGTGGTCCTGGGGACCACCTTGTGGTGTGCAGCCAGGTCAAGGGGGGGGCTGAGGGTAGATGGACCTCGTGACCTCATGCAGAAACTTGGCCACTGAGCCTTTCCCGGCTGGGGTGCAGGAATGCGAGCTGGCTTCATCTTTTGTTTGGTGCTCAGGGCTGACTCCTGGCTCTGTGCTCAGGGATCCCTCCCGGCAGGACTCAAACTGGGGTCACCCTGTGCGCCGGGTAAGCATCTTGCTGGCTGTGTTATCTCTGTGGCCCCTGTTGCATCTTTGAAACAAGGTTTGCCCTGATACAAACCTGCCTGAGCATGCCATCACCAGCCCTGTTCAGCCCCGGGAGGGTCTGGTGGCACCTCCCCTCCGAGGGGGGCAGGCGCTGGACAGGGAGACAGTCCTGTTCCTGGGTCCTAAATTCCCAGACTGCCTTGGGACCACCTGACCTATTTATTGGTCCAATGAGCCTCTGATCCTCTTGGTCTCTGACAAACTCTCTCTGAGCAGTGCCAACCTTCCAGACAACAAAATCTCTCTGAATGCTCTGGAATGACGCCAGGCAGTAGAGGTGGCTTGGATCTGACTTGTTTGGGAAGCCTGGAGTGTGCAGATGAGAAGCTGCACCCAGTGATTTCTTGGAGTTGTTCGGTTTAGTTTGTTGAGGGGGGAGCGGCAACCCCAGTGGTGCTCAGGACTTATTCCAGGCTCTGTGCTCAGGGATCACTCCTGGAGGTGCTCTGGGGACCATCTGAGGTGCTGGGGATGGAACCCGGGTCAGCTGCATGCAAGGCCAGTGCTGCACCGCGGTACCATCTCTTCATCCTTCGGTGACTTCTCTGAAACTCACCTTGTGTCCGGGGCCAGCACACTCTCCAGGGACCCAGGAGACGCCCCCACCCTTCCAGGGGGCTGTGCTTATGTTGAAACCAGGCAGAGAGGGGTTGCCTGGATTTAAGACTGCTTTCAAACGGCTCAAATAATCCTCTTACTGCAGGCTTAGAATCAAACGCTGGAGGGTTTTGGCCAACCCTGGAGATAGAGAGCCGGGCAGGGAGGGGATGCACCCTGGCCGCCTGGGGGTGCGTGTCTGGTTCATGGCCTGGTCTGTCACAGACTCCCTGGACGCCTCCAGCATGTGACTTCGAGGTCCAGGTCTATAGCCCCCCTACCCTCAGTCCCATGGGGGACATGAAGGCAGGGACAGAAGGACGGGTTGGAAGCTGGCAGTCGCTTCCAACTCAAGAAGAGGCTTTTTATAGGACAGGAGAGCTGGGACGGGTGGGGGACAGATGGCCGGGCCCAGAGTGGCCAATTAATCCCCTCCTGGGAAGTTGCTGAGACAGTTTCCGTTGAAGGTTCTTCATCTTCAGGCAAGACCAAGGGACAGCCTGGGCAGTGTCCACCGTCCTGCCCATTTTCTGGTTTCGTGATAGCACAGTGATTAGGGCATTTGCCCTGCATGCGGCCAACCTGGCCCACCCAGCCGACCTGAGTTCGATTCCTCCGGCCCTCTTGGAGAGCCTGGCAAGCTACCGAGAGTGAGAGTATCTTGCCCTCAGGGCAAGCTACCTGTGATGTATTGGATATGCCAAACACAGTAACAAAAAGTCTCACAATGTTACTGGGCTTGCTCTAGCAAATTGATGAACAATGGGAGGACAGTGCTACTGAATTCAGTTGCTAATTGGGGGGAGGGGGTGCAGGCTTTATCAGCATCACTGATCCCCCCTACCCTCAGCCCCCTACCCCTTCACCCGCCAGGGCCAGGCAGCAGGTGCCAAGCTCCAGAGCTGAATGCCCGGGCGGGGGGGGGGGGCAGGAGCTGCCAGGAGACCCCAGATCCCCAACTGCAAAGAGACTGTGGGGGAGGGGCTCTGGGCCCCCTGTTCTGCGAGATCTGGGGATTGTCTTGTCTGCCTGTGACAAGCTTTCCCCGCCCAGGCCTGCCCCAGGAGCTGAGGTAAATCCTGGCTCCTTCCTCCTCCCTGGCCGCTTTGCAGGGAGGTGGGGACCCCCAAGAAGCAGGGGTGCATGAAGGACCTGACTTCACACTGTCCCCAGGGAAGCTCACGGGATTTTGTTGGATACTGCCCAGGCTGGGAGTGTCCCCACGTGCCCAGAAACTGGTTCAGGACAACTCCAGACTCCTGGTTTGTCACAGCCTGGAGCATGGGGGTGTGCAGAGCTGTGCCCCCGAGAGCTGGTTATGCTAGCAGACCCCCCCCGCCCCCGGCAGAGCCATCGGGCTGACCTGGCGGCGTGGAGGCCATGACCACTGTCCCTTTGTGCTGGACGTGCATGTCGCATCTCTGATGAAGGCCCCAGGGGCAGAGCCGTCCGTCCTGCGGCCGCGGGGGCAGCCGCGTTCCGAGGCTCTGTGCCAGGCTGGCATCTTGGCAGGATCCACCCACACAAATGCTGTGGGCAGGCTTGAGGCAAGTCAGTGCCAGGACCCCCCAGTGCCACCCCTGGCACGTGCAGCCTGCACACACAGAAACCCCGTCCTCACTCCAACGCCCGCGCAGCACCCCTGGGCTAACCCCCTTCCCTCACTCCAGGATTCCGTGTCTTTATCCCAAAGTCCTGCAGATGCCACAGGACAGCGATGGGGACGGAGTCTCAGCAGCGGCCTCTCTGGCCAGGGCCTTACAGAAGGCCAGTGGTGGGCGATGCTCAGGACGGGGCATGGACGCAGGGCGGAGCCCCCCATTGCTGGGGTGAGGGGAGCAAGGTTTCCTGGAGGAGTGGGGTCTGGGGCGGGATCTGGAGGAGAGAGGGGGAACCAGGAGAGAAACGGACCCAGAGAGCGGGAAAGGTGGGGTGCACTAGACCAAGGAAGGGGTAGCAGCGCTGCCCGTCCAGACCAGTGAACAGGGTCTAGAGGGGGCAGCGGGGACCTGTGTCCCTGTGGCCAGGACAGGTTCAGCTATCCTCCCGTCTCAGGGAGCAAAGGGGGACAGCAGCCGGACAGACGCTGGCATCTGGAAACGGGGGCACAGGAGTCCCGGGAATGAGTATCGCAGGACTCCTGGCCAGGTGGAGCCGAGGTGACCTTGGGTCAGCCGGCAAGAGTAGAAGGTGTCCAGTGATCCACAGTTCCCCCTGGACACAGGATGAGACAGTGTCCCAGCCCCTGGCTCTAGCCCAGCAGCGCGGGGGGCCACAGCACCAGGCCAGGCATGGAGGGTGACCCCACAAGGGGTGCTGTGAGCAGGGCCCAGGGGTTGCCGGGAACCCACCGGCCAGGGTAGGGACCTGGGCTCATGGCACTCACCAGGTGGGGAATGGACGCTGGGGGCTGGGAGGCCATAAAAATGCGACTGGCCACCCACCTGGTTCTGGACTGATAGTGACCACCTGGTTCTGGACCGACCAGTGACCCAGCTGGTTCTGGATTGACCGGCGCCCACCTGGTTCCTGACCCCCATAAGAGCTGTCAGAAACAGGGGTGCGGTGAGGGGCTGGGGAGAGGCGCCCAGAGCCTTTGGGTGGTGGCTGGTGGCCACCTGGCAGTACTCAGGGGCTCACACCTGACCCTCTGTGTCTCTCCGTCCCCCGCCCTGTGAGCCTTGACCCCTAGATCCTCCCCCACCACCCAGGTCCCAAGGTCTCGTCTCACCTCCTGTCATGTCAGAGAGGGCAGGGCCCTTCTGCCCCGAGGGACCTGCACTTCCGGTGGGAAACTGGGTGGGGGGCTCATGCCTGAGGGGGCTTGGGCCCACTTCTCTCTGTAGGAGTCTCAGAGGAAAAAGAAAGTCTGGGGGAGGGCAAAGCAGGGGACAGAGCTGAGGCCGTCCCCACTTAGCCCTTAGGGGGCTCCGAGCACAGGCCTGTCAGGGACTCGGGGTGATGACCCCCCCAGCTGTGGGGCCTGGTTCAGAGAATCAGAAGGGGGGGAGGGGCGGGAGGGGCGGGAGGGGGCGGGGCAGGAGAGTTGCTCGAAGGTCCCAGAACATAAATCCCCATCATGCTTTTTGCGAGCACTTTGCGTGTGAGTGTGACTCAGTGATTCTGAGTTTCGGCTTCAAGTCCAGCTTGGGCGCTGGGTCAGTGTCTGTGCTGGAACGGGCTTTATTCCGGGGCTTGGTGGAGGGTGAGATTGGGCAGGGAGAGGGAAATGGGTGTGGCTGGGCATCAGCGGTTAGAAGCCCCCTGCTGCCCCCCCGCACCCCCCCCACGGCCAGGCCCCCACCCTCCACCCCACACTCCCCACTCCTGTTCCTCTGGAGAATCCAGCTCCTGGTGACAGGAGGTCTGAGCTGCCCTGCTGCGCCCCCTGCTGGTGGCCCTCAGGACCCTACAAGTAGACCCCCAGCCCACCTTCCCTTTCCTTGCAGGGAGGAGCCCATGGCACGGCCCGGCCCCTCTGCTGTCCCTGTGCTGGTGCTCACCCTTCTGGTGCTCCTGGAGACGACCCCTGCTGGCTCTCTGGGACCCGGAACCCCTGCTCGGAACCGCCCCAAGAATCACATCGACCTGCCCAGCCCGGCACAGTGGACACCACAGACCGGCCACCACCGTAGGAGGGGCCTGGGCAAGAAGGAGCGGGGTCCGGGCAGACCCAGCCGGGTCCATGATGGCGCTCTGGTCACCACCACCAGGCAGGCCTCCAGGCTGTCCGGGGTAGGGGAGTTGCTGCCTGGACAGAGGCCTGCCGGCCTGCTGCAGGACAAGGACCTGTTCCTAGGGCTGGCGCTGCCCTACCCAGAGAAGGAGAACCAGTCCCCGGGGACAGAGAAGGCCAGGAAACGCAGCCGGGAGCACCGGAGACGCAGGGAGAGGCTGAAACTGAACCGAGGTAGCTGGGGTGGGGGGGAGGGGCCGCAAGGGGCCGGGAGGGTGGACAGGAGAGGACACAGGCCCTGATGACCTGACAGGTGGGAGGGGGCTAACAGTGTGAGGCCGGGGGCAACTGTCCAACAGTGGACACCCCGAGTGCAGGCACAGAAGGATCAAGAAGGGCTGGAGAGATAACACAGCGGGTCTGGCCTTGCCCTGCGCACAGATGACCCGGGTTCAATCCTCAGCATCCCATATGGTACCCTCGGGCACTGCCAGGAGTGATCCCTGAGCATCTCTGTGTGTGACCCCCTCTCCCCGCCCCCATCAAGGCAAAGGCAAAGATAAGCCTGTCTGCCTCCAGCTCCCCCCCCCCTCCCTCGGGGCCCTGAGCACTGCCCTCCCCTCCCCCACCCACGTGTCTCTAGTGGTTCAGTGGTGATGTCAGAGGTGACCTTAGGCCTCACACAGCCCCGAGTTCCTACTGCTGAGCGTCACTGGACCCCTCAGAGCTGGAATTTTAGCCCCTGTAGGTGGTTGGCCCCCCCTCCCACGGTGACTGAGGGTCCCACAGGCTGCTGACTGTCCCCAGGGAGCGAGCATTTGGACATCAGGAGCCCTGGCTCTTCCATCCCAGCCCTCTCAAAAGCCACTCGCCTCTCCTGCTTCCCCTCTCATACTCATTACGTTACCCCTGTATTTGACTTCCTCCAGGAAGCCCTCCTTGATCGATGCCCCTAGTTCCCACTTGTCCCGACATCCCTGATGACACAATTGCTTTAGCAGGAGAGTCTTTGGGGGCTCCCTTCTCAGCTACATTACAGGTTTATCCAGGAAGTGCCCTCTCCCATTCCCCGCTCTCCCCCCCCCCCCCCGCCACCCCGACTCCCTGCGAAGGCAGGTCACAGAGATGTCGCCCTGGGATCCCTTTGGCCCTTGTGCAGCAGGCCTTGTGCAGCAGGCCTGGACATGGGGACAGGGCAGTCACGTCTCTCTCCTCTCTGGTGTCCAGGGCGAGTGCCCGTGCGGGGCCCCAGCTCCCTGATGCAGAAGGCGGAGTTCCCGGATGCCCGGGCTGTGGACAGCGCCCTGGAGGACTCCTCCACCAGCCTGGTGCCCACCATCCTCTACCTGACCACCGTGGACGCAGCCCCAGCCACCGAAGAGTCCCTGGTACTGCCTGTCACGGCCCTGTGGCCACAGGTAGGGGTCCCGCCCAGCCACACACCTCAGGCTGTGTTCAGGGCGCCGGCTGAGGGGAGGAGGGACAGCGACCACTGAAGCGGGGCTGGAGCTTGCCCAAGGGGCCGTCCCGGGAGTGCTGCCCGCGCCCCGGAAACTCAGCGGGGCCCTGGGCCCTGCGCCCCAAGGAGCAAGCCCCAGAGAGTGTCCATTTCCTGTAAAGCACCATGAAGAACCACAGCACCTGCGTGTGCCGTGTTTGGGGCTTGGGGGCCTCACTCAGCTGTGCCCCAGGATCAGTCCTTGGCGGGGCTCCAGGGACCGTGTGCAGAGTCGGGGGTCGAGCCGAGGCTGACTGCGTGCGAAGCAAGCCCCGAACCACTGTGCTGTGTCTCCAGCCCCCAGTAGCATCTTTAATCCGCGCCTGGTGTTCCATGAGGCCTGTCTGCTTCAGGCCTTTGGAGCTGTCTGAGCCGAGGTCAGGGTTCAAGTCTGATCCCCGCCCCCTCCCGCCCCCCCGCACTGCAGGACGGGGGTCTAGGATTGTCTGGAGTGGCCCTGCCTGGGCGCTGAGCTCTGCTTGTGGGGCTCCACCACTCCCCAAAACATGGTCAAAGGAGAGAAAGCGAGGAAGCAAACGCAGGCCGAGAGACACAGGAGCAAGCCCAAGTGCCGCTGGGTGTAGCCCCCCCAGAAAACAGTAAATGTACAACGACATTCACTGTCATCACTTTATTCACGGTTTTGGTTTCTGGGCCAGGGCTGACTCCTGGCTCTGCACTCAGGGATCACTCCTAGCGGGGTTCAGGAGACTATGGGGTGCTGGGAATTGAACCCAGGTCAGCCACGTTGCAAGGCAAGCGCCCTCCCTGCTGTGCTATCGCTCCAGCCATTATTGGCGATTTTAGACAAAGGGTACTTAGCAGTCAATCGCATGATCAATAAAATACCTATATAGCAAAAAATAAAACTATTTTTAGTGTGCAGGGGTCGTAGAGCACCAGAGCCCTGTGAGTCATCCCTGGCCCGCAAGGAAAACATTTTGGTTTTTTGGGGTTTTTTTTTTTTGGCTTTTTGGGTCACATCCGGTGACGCTCAGGGGTTCCTCCTGGCTCATGCACTCAGGAATTACTCCTGGTGGTACTCAGGGGACCATATGGGATGCTGGGAATCGAACCTGGGTCGGCTGCGTGCAAGGCAAACGCCCTACCCACTGTGCTATCGCTCGAGCCCTGGAAAACTGTTAAAAGCAGAAAATGGGCCTTGTCCTCTCTCTGGGCCTGGCAACCCCCTCGGATCCAATCAGACCCACAGCCGTGTAGGAGAAACCCTTGACCCCGTGACCTCTCGGGCGCCCCGGTCCCCACTGAGGTGCCCCGGAAGGTCCCAGCATCGTCTGCGTGCTTCTGTGTGCAGGTGCCCCCGACGCCGGCCAGCCTGAGTGCCCAGGAGAGCCGGTCCCTCCTTCAGGGGGGGAGCGGAGCAGCTCCATGGCCCCTGCTGCCCCCCTGTACTGGCCTGGCCAACCTGAGCAGGGCGGGGGTCCCCCAGTCCCTGTGATCTTGGAGACCCCCTCCTTTGCTCTCTGGCCAGAGCAGCCTGACTTTGGGGGGGGGGGTCCTTCCAGAAGGCACAGGAGGCCCGCTGCTCTCGGCCTGAGGTCATGGGAGCACTCGGCACCAAGCCAGGCACCCCGCCCACTCCTGGGAGCCCCGTCTCCTTTCTCTTCTCCCCACCTGCAGACCCAGCCCCGGCCTGACGGGGACGTGATGCCCACGCTGGACATGGCCCTGTTCGACTGGACTGACTACGAGGACTTGAAGCTGGCGGCCTGGCCCCCAGCGGGGCGGAGAGGTGGGTTCCCTGAGCCCCAGTCGCCCACAGGTGGGGGCAGGGCAGGACTGAAGTTACCCCCCCAGCTGCAGGCCCCAGGTGCTTCCGGGGACTCGCAGGGTCTCCACTGCTGGGATCACCTTTATTCCATTTGGGGGTCTCCAGGGCCCCCGTCAGCCCCACACAGACACTGGCCTGCGATGCTCCGTCCCCAGCGACTTGGTTAGTTTATTTCCTTCCTGATGAGGGTCCCCTCCGCTCCCCTTGTGTTGCTGACCAGGTCACACACTGGGTGGCAGCGCCCAGAGATCGCACACGGGGGGGGCAGCAGGGGCCCCCACAGTAGAGCGTCCGGCACTGGGGGGCTCCCACCCTGAGCTGAGGGGTCCCGGGGCCCATCCTGTCCAGAATAGAGGCGACCACGGCTGGCCGTGCCTGGAACCCCCAGCCCTGCTGGCACTGACCACAGGCCCTCCTGTCCCCAGAGAGACACCGGGGGAAGCTGTCGGGTGACGGCAATGAGACCTCGCCGGCTGCAGGGGGGACGTGCCGCCACCACCAAGACTGCCTGCCAGGTAGGTGGCTGCACCCCGTCCAGGCACCCCCATCCATGGCAGTGGGCAGAGGGGGGTAGGGAGGGATAGGGGTGTCCCAGCTCTAAAGATGGTGAGAACCCCACCCACCCAGCCACCTGCCCACTCGTCCACCCACCCAGACACCCCGTGCTCTCCCATCGCTGCCAATCATTAATCTTATTTATTTTTTGAGGGGCGGGTAACCACACCTGGCAGTATTCCAAAACTGCTCTTGGCCCTGTGCTCAGCGGTCACTCCTGGTGGTGCCCAGGGGACCATATGTGGTGGCAGCGCCTCACCCACTCTACCATTCCTTTCATGCCACCCTCGTTGTCCAGGGGTCCTGCCACGCTGGCCGCCTGGGTCAGGGTGAATGTGCTCTCGCTCCACACGGGCGGGGGTGGGGGGGGCTCTGTGCTTGTCCCTGCAACATGGCCAGGCGTCGGCTGTCAGTTCCACCTGGAGTCCATGCGCAAGGCCTGGGTGGGGATGTGGCTCAGCGGTATGCCTGAGACTTGGGGTTCGAGCACCCCCAGAATGATGCCCCAGACACTGAGCCGGGAATGACCCCTGAGCACTGCCCGGCGTGGTCCTGAGTGCCACACGGCGGCATCCGCTGGGACCACCGGGAGGAAGGAACGGAGAGACAAAGCAGGGGAGGAGCATGAGGCTGGAGGGGGCAGGGTTGGACCACCTGGGCAGCCGGCACTGTGGCACCAGCGTGCCAGGACCTGTGGGGCAGGCACTGCCCCTGGGCAGCGATGGTCGGGGCCCCGAGCACCGTGCCCGAGCCCCCAGCTGGAGGCGCCCACTGACCTCTCTCCTGGTCACTGGATCTTCCCCGGGGAAGCTGGCACCTCTGCGTCTTGTTAGCCCACATGCCAGCCACCCAGCCAGCCATGTGGCACCATCTACCCCGGGCCAGTGGCCCCGCCCAGGCTGGTCCCTTCCAAGCCATTGTCTGCAGGAAGAAAGGGCTGGAGTGAGTAGTGACCGGGGCTGGGGTCCCCACCGCATCTCTGGCCATCTGTCCTCTGAGAGGGGAAGGGGCCACGCCCACTCCACGCCCTAACCCCCCTGCTGTCCCCCTTCTCCTGTCCCAGAGCTGTTCCCCTGCCTGCCTGTCCCTCCCCGGCCTTTTCTTGTTTGGGGGCCACGTCCTGGGATGCTCCGGGCTTACTCCTGGCTCTGCACTCAGGATACCCCACACGGGGTAATGGGGATCGAACCCGCAGACCCCTCCCCTCTGAACTAGCACTCCGGCCCCTGCACCTCCCCCTTCGACCAATCCGGGGTCCTGGGCTTGGTGGTCCTGGCCCCCAGAGCCTCGACAGCAGTGATGCCAGGGCCCAGGCACGGGGCTGGGCGGGGGTGTGCTGGATTTCGCATTCAGGAACCCCTGATTGTGCATGCTGACCGCGTGCGCCCTGCCTGTCTCCGCAGGGTCCTGCTGTGACCTCCGGGAGCATCACTGCGACCCCCAGAACCGAGGCCTCAACAATAAATGCTTTGACGACTGCATGTGCGCGGAAGGTGGGCTGGCTCCCTGCGCATGCGCAGCACGCGGGAAGGGTCCGGGCGAGGGCGGGCAGGTGGGGTCGCCGCCGTGCATCCCCGGGAAGAGCGCAGCGTTATGGGGGCACCTTCCCAGGCCCTCGGGAGCCCCCTCCCGGCACCGGCCCCCAGAGCTGCCCCTCCTGACACACCCGCGGGAGCCGCTCCCTTCTGGAAGCAGGACCCAAGGGGGCAAGGAGGAGTGAGATCAAGGTTGAGACCCCAGGATTGTCTCCCAGGGGACGCATTCAAGCATGAGGACAGGTTGGGGGTACCCGAGGAAGGGCGCCCTTGGCAGGCCCCCTCTCTGGGGGTAAAGAGAGCCATCAAGTCAGGTGTTGGCGACACCCCCCCACCCCCGTGTGTCAGCCTCAGGCATCCCAGGGAGAGATGGAGGTTCGACCCCAGCGGGCACTGAGGCAGAGGCCCAAAGAAGGGTAGTGACTAGGCCACACTTACACAGCTGAAGCAGGTGGGGCACAGGGGGTGGCCGTCGAAGTGTCTCTGCTGGAAGGTTTTGAGGTGACCCTGTGGTCGTCAGACTCAGGACATCCTGTTTCAAGGATAGCCAGCCGGGGCCCAGCAATGCTCTGCCCTGCACACCCCCCCATGCCAGTGTCCAGTGGGCATTGGGTTTGGTTTGGGGGTCTACGCCCTGCAGTGCTCAGGAGTGACCCCCAATGGCCCCGTGAACCCCTGTTCTGTCTCTCCAGCACCTCCAAGTGATTTTTGAAGCAATGCCAAGGAGTGACTCACAGATACTTTACCTACAAATGAATATATATATATATATTATATATATATATTTGCTTTTTGGGTCACACCCGGTGTGCACAAGGGTTAGTCCTGGCTCTGCACTCAGGAATTACTCCTGGCAGTGCTCAGGGGACCATACAGGATGCTGGGAATCGAACCCAGGTCGACCACGTGCAAGGCAAATGCCCTACCAGCTGTGCTGTCGCTCCAGCCCCTCACCTACAAATATTTCAGCAGATATCCCTAAATGGCAGATACTGGAAGAACAAAATAACAAATATTACCCTGTATTTCTACCCAGGGAGCACCCCCTTTTTCTGGGGTGGGGGGGAAGTCAGTTGTCCATTACCCATCTGGAAATATAGGCCTCATTTTCTTTCTTTCTTTCTTTCTTTCTTTCTTTCTCTTCCTTTCTTTTCTTTCTTTCTTTCTTTCTTTTTCTGCTTTTTGGGTCACACCCAGCAATGCTCAGGGGCTACTCCTGGGTCTGTGCTCAGGAATTACTCCTGCCGGTGCTCAGGGGACCATATGGAATGCTGGGAATCAAACCCTGGTCAGCCACTTGCAAGGCAGACGTCTTACATGCTGTACTATCGCTCCAGCCCCCAGGCCTCACTTTCACTCATATTATCCGCAAAGAATGAGGCATTCTGGCTGGAAAGACAGTATGGTGGGTCAGGCTTGCCTTGCACGAGTCAGACCCAGGTTGAACTGGGATTTGATCCCCAGTACCGTATATGGTTCCCTGAAGCCCACCAGAAGTGATCCTTGAACACAGAGCCAGGAGTAAGCCCTGAGCCCTGCTGGGTATGTTAAAAAAAAAAAAGAGAGAGAGCATATGTGTAACATGAGTGATGCCCTAAATTCCTCCCTGTCATCACATGCCCATCTGAGCACCAGCGGGCCTGAGCACCTCCAGGTGTGGCCCATACATTTTTGTTTGTTTTTGTAAAAGTAAAACAAGTATGTTGGGAGCCAGAGAGAAAGCACAGTGGTAGAGTGTTTACCTTGTATGCAGCTGACCTGGGTTTAATCCCAGCATCTTATATGGTCCCTGGAACCCCACCAGGATGGTCCCTGAGCACAGGAGTAAACCCTGAGCACTGCCGTGTGTGGCCACCTCCTCAAAAAAAGAAAAATCTGCTGAACTTTGAAATTAGGGAAGTGCCGTGACCCGGTGGGTGTGTGGAGAGCTCATGGGCTCCTGATGTGGCCCAGGTCCGGTTCAGTAGCACAGTGAAGCAGTTCTGGGCCAGACCCATAGCACAGCAGGGAGGCATTTGCCCTGCATGCAGCGGACCCAGGTTCGATCCCCGCCATCCCATATGTTTCCACTGCCAGGAGTGATTCCTGAGTGCAGAGCCAAGAGTAACCCTTGAGCATTGCTGGGTGTGACCCAAAAAGAAAAACAAACAAACAATTAAGCAGTTCCAGCCCAGGTTTGCCGGCCACAAGATAAGTTGACCAGTGCAGTGGGGAGGGCTGGAACGGTGAGGCCGGAAAGCGGATGTCCCTGAGTAAATGAATTCGACAGGCCTTGATGCCCTGAGCACAGAGCTAGGAGTCTCCGGGCACCACCTCTGGGTGTGACCCCAAACAAAGCCCTACAAGGGCAGCTGACCCGGGGCTCCATCCCCAGCACCGAGTAGGAGCCCTGCACACTGCCAGGGCTGACCCCTGAGTACGGAGGACCCCTGGGTGCGTTCCAACATCCCCCACCCCGCCCCCAGAGAACGTACACCCAAAGTGGTCAACATCAGAGCTTGGAGGGGGGGGGGAGGCGCCCAGGAGAGGCAGGTGTGTACCGTTTTGTTTGTTAATGGGCCACACCCGGCGATACTCAGGCATTACTCCTGGCTCTGTGCTCAGGGACTATGGGGTACCGGGGGTCGAACCCAGCTCGGCTATAGGCCCCAGTGCAGACGGGTGGCCAGGGCCCCGCTGACCCGTGTCCCTCCCGTCCCCCAGGGCTGCGCTGCTATGCCAAGTTCCACCGGAACCGCAGGGTGACCCGGAGGAAGGGGCGCTGCGTGGAGCCTGACACCGCCGACGGCGACCAGGGCTCCTTCATCAACGTCTAGCGGCCCGGCGGGCGCCTCGGCAGCGGCAGGGGCCTGCGACGGGTGCGGAGACCCCCGGACATTAGCTCCTGCCGTTGCCAGGAACCTCCTTCTCTGCCTAAGGCCCGAGAAGCATTGCAGGGCCGGGGCAGCCTCCTGCGGACTGCGGCGAGCGCGCCCTCTGCTGTCCGAGCGCGGCGCTGCAGCCGCTTCCCCTCCAAACGCACAAGTTTGCTCCGGCCAGAACCAGGATTCCCCTGAAATGCGAAGGGAGAACCCAAGGGCGGGACCTGTGAAACGTGGCAGCTCCTCCACGCTGAATGCGAGACTGGCACCATCTCGTCTGGACACCCCCATTGCCTTTCAAGAAGGCGTTGCCACCACCTTCCAGGTGGTAAACTGAGGCACGGCTGATTTTCAAGACTCGTCCAGCACCCGAGTGCAATGCTCCTCAGGCCTTAAGCAGAGAAGGAGGCTCCTGGCAACTGCAGGAATGCAGACTGGGTCGGTCCTGCATCCTCCGGGCTCTGGGGAGGGCACCCAGCATGGAGCCTGCACAAAGCCTGGGCGGGCCGCCGGGCTCCCCACACCCTCCTCCGGGACTCCCTGCCTTCCGGTGAGATGTTCTTCCCTGGGGACCCCTCGCGCCCCTGAAGGCTGCATGGTCCTCCCTTCCCTGCACAAGGTCAAAGCCGCTTCAAAGAACATGATGAAACAGTGTAACATAACAAGCAACTGCATGAGTTGGGGACACGGGCAGAGGCGCTCTGGGAACTGACACTGATGGGAGCCAACGTGTTGGGGGGGCTCCTTCAGGGGCTGTGGCCTGGCTCACCCCAGGGGTTCTTTAGTTGGTGGGGTTTGTGCCCTTCGAGAATCTAGAAACTGAACAACACACACTGTCTACAGGTACCCACTTTTTTTTCCCCCCCTTTATTTTATTTTATTTTTTTTAATGTTGTAGATTTACAATTTTTTTGTGCTTTGGTTTCAATTATACAATGATCAGATACCCATCCCTCCACCAGTGCCCATTTCCCACCACCATGGATAATATCCCTCCCACCCCCATCCCCCCATCCCCCCTGTCTCTGTGGCAGGGCAATCCCCTGTGTTCTCTCTCTCCTTTTGGGTGTTGTGGTCTGCAAAAGAGGCATTGAGTGGCAAACATGTTCAGCATAGTCTACTTTCGACATGCATCTCCCCTCCTGGGAGGATCCTCCAAACATCCTTTATTTGGTGCTCCCTTCTCTATTTGAACTGCCCTTTCCTCTAGGATACCCGGCTGGCCTCTAAGTTATGGAGTAATCCTCCTGGTGCTGATCTTACAGGTACCCACTTTTATTGTGTGTTGTGGACGCCTTGTCCCCACAAGCCCGGGATTCGCACCCCACATGGGGTACAGCGGACTCTCTCGAGGGAGATGGGGCATCCCGGAAGCAGTGAAGGTGCTGTCTCCGGTTAACTGCCCCCCAGCACCTCCCCCACATCCAGCACACTCCTGACCCCGCCCCGCCTTCTGCTCACGGCCAGGGCCAGCCAGAAGCCACCGGTACCTGCTGTACCTGCCGTCCTGGAGGCCACCAGGATGTTTACTCCGTCGGGAAATCAGAGCAGGTCAGGGGTCTGGCACCAGGGGACACTGCCAGATCGGGGAGAAATCAAATATGCTTGCTTTCCTGCCTTTCTCTCCGCTCCAGGCACCATACACCTGGAATCTGGGGGTGAGGCGGGGTGGGGGCGGCTGAGGGGGCGACGGGAGATGGGAAGAGATCCAGGCCGGCTGCGTGGGAAGACGCACGTGAGAACTGAGACAGCGCCGGGCTGAGCGCCTCCCTGGGTGGCCCAGTAGAGATGGTCAGGGCACCCCAAAGTCCAGGCCTGGGGCAGGAACCCTCATGGCTGGGAGGGAGTGACTGCTGACCCTGAAACCCGCAGCAGGAAAGCAGCTCAGGGCTCATCTGTGAGGGCCCCAGGAATGACCGAGCTGGGGACCCACGGGTGGGAGGTGGAGGCGGGAGGCGGCCTGGAAGATTCCAAACTGCCCCTTTGCGACCTTCATTTTGTGTCTGTAAAGGGGGATAAGTGGAACCTCATGAGACCAGAGACCCCCAAAGGCCCCTCACGGCAGAATTGGAGCGCTCTGACCTTCCTTATATCTTTTTCCTTCTACAAATAAAACTTTTTATTATTGTCATCACTAAAAGTTTGAATTTTATTTCTTTTTACTTATTTGTTTATTTTGGTTTGGGGCCACACCTGCCCATGCTCACCAGGGCCAGCTCCTGGCTCTGCTCAGGAAAGACTCATGGTTGGTTTGGGAGACCATATGTCCCCCAACCCAGGTCGCTTCTGGACTGACGTTTCGAAAACTGCAACTTGCAGGGGCTGGAGCGATAGCACAGCGGGTAGGGCGTTTGCCTTGCACGCAGCCAACATGGCCGACCCAGGTTCGATTCCCAGCATCCCATATGGTCCCCTGAGCACTGCCAGGAGTGATTCCTGAGTGCATGAGCCAGGAGTAACCCCTGAGCATCGCCGGGTGTGACCCAAAAAGCAAAAAAAAACAAAAACAAAAAAAAACCTTGAGTTTAGAAAAAATTGTCATGAGACAATACAGCGGGTAAGGGGCTTGCTTTGCATGCAGCCAACCTGGGCTCGATCCCCAGCGTCCCATATGGTCCCCTGAGCATCTGAGTGCAGAGCCAGGAATAACCCCTGAGCATCACCGGGTGTGACCCCAAAAGACAAAAACAAAACCAAATTTTTCTGAAAATTGTTCACTACCACTGTATCACTGTCATCCCGTTGTTCATCAGTTTCCTCGAGCAGGCACCAGTAACGTCTCCATTCATCCTAGCCCTGAGGTTTTAGCAAGTGCCACACTGGGGCTCTTTCAGGGTCAGGGGAATGAGACCCATCATTGTTACTGGGTTTTGGCATATTGAGTACGCCACGGGGAACTTGCCAGACTCTGCCGTGCGGGCAGGATACTCGCAGTAGCCTTCCGAGTTCTCTGAGAGCGAGAACTAGACTTATAAGAGGTCTAGCTTCCGGAAGCTTGGCTTTATAGTCTCTGGATCTTGGCTGTTGATGGGATTACCCGGGGCGGGACGGGGGGCAGTTGGTGGGTGTAATGCCTAGCTACCGAAAGATGGGGGATCTGGGTGGAGGAAGCCCAGTCCCAATCCGAACAGGCTTGGAGATCTCAGCCCCAGGTCCCACACACCTGGGTTCCTCTGCCGGTTCCTTCATGTGTGAGGCTCGTCCGGTCTTAAGCATGGCTGTGGCGGGTTCCGGAGGTCTTCAGCTGCCGGGGCTCTGCTCCAGGAGGAGAGGGAAGCTCAACCCGCCCCCCTCCAAGGGGCCCCGGTGAGGACAGCGGGGGCTGTTCTACCTCACGAATCATTGTCCGAGATTTTGCTAAGGTGCTTGTTGCCCGCTGAGCCTTCTGTGTTATTGTTTCTGCTTATTAAGCCCAGCTGGATTCCACGCTACTCTCGAATTTGATTTGCTGGGCCCCTGCCGGGCTCTCAGGATTGTGGGATTCGAAGGGTTCCTGCGGCACGTGCTCCAGGACTCTGGGATCTGTAGGACTGGGTTAGTGGACTTACACAGTGGCTGTGGGATATGGCTTGAAAAATCTGAATTTTTTTTTTTCAGCTTACACTCAGAGATGCTCAGGGTTTACTCTGCACTCAGGAATCACTCCTGAGGGGTGCTTGGGGGACCATATGGGATGCTGGGGATCGAACCTGGATCTGGAGGATCAAGCGGGGTATGCCGTGTGCAAGACAAACGCCCTATCTGCTGTACTATCTCTCTGGCCCCGAAAAGTCTGAATTTTAAAGAGGCTCCAGCTCCGTGGCTTCCTACCCATCAGCGGGTGCCTGGCTCACCCCGAGTGCCTCTGGGGTCCTGGTTTCCACCATTGTTTCCCGGCTCTCCGAGTTTGGGAGGCTGATGTTGGAGGACTTCCCACTCTGCATGTTGTAGTTTTTGAAACATCAGCCTAGAACCGACAAAACAACCCCCAGCAGAGGCCTTGTCCTGCCGGGGTCCTTCAGCCTCGCTCTGCCACTTCCTCTCCTGATAACAACAACAACAGATAACAACGCCCTACAAGTTTATCTGACAGCTCTTTGCCCTGAGGAACCTCAATAATTAACTGAACCTGTTCCTTTTTTCTTTCTCTTCTTTTTGACATTTTGGGGGTGACACTCAGGGGTTACTCCTGGCTCTGCACTCAGTGGTGCTTGGCGGACCATATGGGATGACGGGGATCGAACCCGGGTCAAACATGTGCAGGTCAAACACTCCCCCTGCTATGCTGTCCTCTGGCTCCAGCTGAATCGCTTTAATACAACTTCCCAGTTCCATCCCTCAGCAAGGCACACGCAACTTTGGAGGCCAGAGGCTGCACTTGGGGCCCCTTGAGCTCTTGTGATCACTGTGCTTCTTGCCCCGACCTGAGGGACTAGTCAACGTGGATAACCGGGAGAGGGTGCGTGAGAGGGAAAAAAGAGAGAGAGAGAGAGAGAGAGAAGAATGGGATCAAGACTCTGATCAAGCTCCAAATTTATTTCTCCCAAGCAAGCCTTTTATAACTGATTACAAGAGGAAGTGGGCAAAATCGGGAATTAACAAAGCCTGCAGATTTTCAATAAATCGTGGTGTGAGCCCTAACGGTGGGCTCATGCCACTTAACCCGGGCATAGCTCAGAAACTTACACAGTGTATTTTAACATTTTTCCAAGAAGAGATTAGTTCTTAAATCGCAGGTCAGGCTGGACAGACATTTTGGCTCCCGGCAGGTTCCAATATTTTTTTTTTCTTGGCTTTACCGGTCCTTTGTGCTCGCTTCGGCAGCACATATACTCAATTGGAACTGGTCCTTTACTTGAGGGGCGATTGGGCGGGAGGCGTGGGTTCCCCGATGCCCAGCCAGCCATGCTCGAAGGGCTTGTAGGTGATGGAGAACTCGCCCAGATAGTGGAGTGGCCAATCATTCTGGGCTAGACTGCCACCACCCTGCCAGCCACCCCACGCCCACCAGAAGGAAGACCCCTATCCCGCTGGTGCG